TGGCTTTTAATGCGCTGATCAGACTTTAAGAGAGTATTGCATATTTACTTTCAGATAGCTATAAATATGAAGTTCACCTGTCAAAGGAGATAATAAGAATTGATGTTTAACCCAAATTATTCTTAAATCATTTATGTTACAATTAATTAGCTGTAACATCACCAGCATCTTCACGCTAACACTCAAGAAATCAATTGCCTAATTAAAACACCATCATCTCTTTTGACCCTTCAAAAATATTCCGACTGTCAGAATCACTCTCTTTTAACAAATACATAAACTATTTGATGCGTCTGACCTCCTTTCGAAATCTACTCTTTGTTTACAACTTATGCTAAGGATCCATGCCTCCAACTCTGCCCACAATAATATCTGTCATTTTCTTGCCTTTCTTTGATGTGTGCAATAAAGCAAACAGCAATAGATTCAAAGGTACCCACAGAGATATACTCAATTGGAACACCCTTTTTCAGGAAACCCCATGAACCAAAACCCTGAACAATACATTATAACATTGTCCCTTTCTCTATACAGCAATAAGTATGCAACCAATTCTTTATAATTTTCTTTTCAAATTATAAAACTGAACAAAGTACTGTACAAATCATTATTTGTTTGTAATCATCCTAACACAGCCTTAGCCTACAAAAAAAGATTTAAAATACATAAAAGAATCCCTACAACTTGCTCAAAAGAATCATATGGAATCATAGTTTATTTCTTGAAGCTTATCAACTGGTCCTTGGTCTAGAGCTCTTCCTTGGCTTCAAGGGTTGTATGGTTAGCAGTTAATCAAACAGAATCCTTTTCATATAGCAAATAGTTTCAGGCTCGGTTCTCGGTTAGCAGATAAATTACAGTGCTCGCTTTCCTGTTAAGAAAATAGTCTGTTAGTAACCAAAGAATGAATCAGTATCATATATACAGTTAAATTAAATTCAGAAACAAGTTTTTAAGCTAAGGTAGTCACCTGTCCGAGCTCATATTTGAACTTGCAGAGATGTGCCATACAAATCAACTGGGTTCCTAAAGAAAAATTGGTAGTTAGTAAAGCAATTTCATAAGCATTTGAGGGAAAAGACTAATATCAATTCATGTTCAGTAAATCTTACAATTTCTCAGCTTGATGAATAGAATCCTCCGATCCCAGAATGTGCACATTCACCTAAATCAAACTCTTTTCCTCCCTCAAAAGAAACTGAGTTCAGTGTATCCATGCGAATATGGCAAGAGTTCTTCAACCTCAACTCTTGAGCTCATCCTTCTGATTCTACTACGATTGATCAATTCAACTTCAGCTGTAAATATACTGTATACTGGTCTGTGATCGGAGAATCGTGACTCTCCACGAACATAAGATAATTGACTGAGTCCTCTCCCGTACCATAAGATTCGATCACACCTTTAAACAAAAGATAATCCCATATCAGCAAATAAGAATAAAAGGAAACTTTGGATATGAGAAAAGTATTATATTTTGTACCAAGCCGGTGTTCTTCGTTTCTCTTTTAGATTCATATCATCACCAGCATATCGATCAGAGTTATTTGAATACTTGTATGTTGGAGGAAAATATATCCTTCCTTCATTCCAACCATGGAAAACTCTACCACTTCTTTGTTCAATCCGAAGCTGTCACGCGTAAGAAGTCGGAGATTTCAGCGACAGCAATGGATAATAAAGAAATAAAATTGGAAGAATGTTTACTTTCCCTATGTCACAAGATATCAAAAGGTGAGAAAGGTAATTCACCTGATCTTTTTCCAATAAGGCTCTCCAATTGTGCATCTCCACAAGAGCCTTTGCTGATCGATATGAAAGAGCAATTCGGTAATTCAAATCCCCAAGCCATATAATTCGACTAAAAGAAAGAAAAGAACAGGAGATCTTTTAAGTCAGGAAAACAAAGTGTTAAATTAGTAAGCTGTATTTTAGCTGATTATTAAGCAGTGGTCTTACTCATGATCGAGAATAGTTTCAGGTGATTTCTCAACACCAATCCTATTGACCCGTGGGAATCTTGTTTTCCTCAAAATTTCCATGACATCAGAATTTCTCCTCAACTCATCCCCTTCTTTCTGGCCCGAGGTCAAATGAGTGCAGACGAAACAGAAGCTTGTTTGATGCAAGGTCATGCTAATCGAAATTGAACCCTGTAAAAAAAAGACAAACATATATATGATTAAATGGGAAAATAACTGATAGTTGAATAAATTGAAACTAAAGAAAATAAGCTACCTTGTTCCCAAGATAGCCCATAAGCCCTCTCCCAACACAAGAAACCTTCATGTTCTTTACATCGTCTCTTATCTCTCTACACACCCAAACCGTGAGAAAAATTCCAACCATTTGCTTGCTAGCAACCAAGCAATACCTACAATTATCCAAGAGTTAAACATAAATTAGTTCATTATATAACATTTATCGATATATAGCTAGAAAATCTTAGGAAAAAAAGGTTATACCTCGAGTTCCCCCTTGATCTTTCTCTCTCTTCCAGAACTTGAGGAACACCATAACCATAATTCATTGGAGAATAAAAGGCGGTACAAGGAGATTCTCCATCAATATTCTCATCATCATCAGATCCACCCAATTTAAAGTTAGGATCAAAATCACTCGGTCTGCTTCCAAAAATGACCCTATCGCATACACTAAACCTACGATCTAGCTTCGGTTGAGGAATCATCATATCTCCATCAAACCTCATGCTCCTACTCAAAGATTGGAATGATCGCCGATGGAAGAAAGATGAGTTCTTTTGCCTCGTTGAGCCTCCTTCGAAATCAGCATCGAGCTCTACAATTGGATCAGGAACAGGTGAAGGTGTGTGATAACTACCATTATAGCTTGAGCCGGGAATGTTGTTCAGTGTTCTTCTAATGAGCGACACCCATTTTCTAGCAGGGCCATTATCTTCAGTGCCGAGGACATTTCCAGCATTCAATGGCACAATCTCTTGAAACCTATGAATCAGAACAAATTAGTTTGGATGCTTCAAGTTGAAAACTTATCTATTGAACAACCTGAGCAAATTAGTGTCAGAATAATATTTTACCCCAAAACATAAATATCAGCAGGAGGTGAGGAATGAAGCCAATCTTCAAGATTCAAGTAACTTGGTGGTGATTTTCCACCCACATTCCATGTTCCCACAAATATGCTATAGTCACAAAAGAGCACATTCAGAATTTAGAAAGAGCAATGAACTAGGTTTCTATCAATTAGATTTCTAAAGTACCTGTAGTCCTGAGTATCTGTAACCTGAGCTGAATCATAATCGAATAGACCTCGCCGGGCTTTTTCAGAATTCTTCTTACAACATCTCTCTGTTAAATTAGAACCCAAATGGAATTAGTAAAATTGATTCAAGATAAACAACAAGAAATGGAGGAGGGGGAAAAAGGAAAAAAAAAGACGATATTGTGGCCCAAAGTGAATTGTGCAGACTCTAGGGACTGTAACCTGTTCTGCTTTTCTTCACTGTGCATGACTCCCTCTCCGAGAAACTGGTCCTTGGTTCTCCATCACCCCCTGCAAAAGAACAAACAGTTCTTGAGAAAAAAAGAAAAAGCGGAAGAAAAAAAAGCTGAGGATTGTGTACCGTTGTGCTGTGGATCAGAGCTAAGAATCTGAACTATGTCAATTGCAAATTAAGCCAGAATTCATACAGAATTAACTTATTGGAGACTGACCTCTCCCATTGACATCATCTGCATGAAAATCCTGAGCTTTGCTCTTGATATTGAACCATTTTCTAACCAAGCTCTTAGACCATGAAATCTGCTCAATAACAAATAAAAATATGAAAAAGGGCCAAATCAGCAACCTGGAAAAAAAACGCCAAAAACACGGTAAATGGGGGAATAAATGGGTGAAAATTTCTTTGCAAAGAACCTTGCTTTTCTTCGAATTAACATCTTTCATGGTTCCCCTTCAGCTTGTAGACCTCCTCAGAGATCTAGGTTCCACGCAGAATAGAATGTGAAACAAATAACATAACCAAATAGAGAAAAGAACTCCCTTTCCACTCAAAACGATTCTTATTTCTATCTGGGTTTTGTGTATCCGAGGAAAAATTGGATCTTTAGCCACTCGGCCAGCGAGATTTTGCGAATGAACAGATGGGTATTGAAGAAAATGAGATGGGCATTCAAACTGGGGAGTTTCGAGCCAGACCCAAGCGATAGAAATTGGAGCTTGAAGGCGAAGAGGCCAATGTGGGGAGTTGGAGAAGAGAATGAAAGAGAGCGGGGTTGAGTTGAAGGAATGGGGGGGGCACTCTCCTTCGAGACCTCGGTCTCAGCTGTACAACAAAGTATCCAATTTGAAGAGAATAAAGTGCAAAGGATTGAGCTTGAGCTCTCTTTCTCTCTCTTGGTTTCTTCTTCACTCTCTCTCTCTCTCTCCTCTTCTCCTCTCTCGAGGCCTTTTACCCCAAATCCAGGGGCAGCCCAAGAACAGGGCAATGCATATTTAAATGCCCTTTTACTTATTATATTTTATGTGGTGTTTTTAACATATTTGTCCCTTAACCATTTATTATCTTTAAATTGGTCTTTCAAATCACTAAAATTGTCTTTAGTCTCTCAAGTCTAATAGGTTATCATATCTGTTATGGAGAATTTCTAAATTACCAATTGGCATTTTTTTGTACGATTTCCAATATGATAATTTTTTTTTCTTTCATCATTGATAGTATGGTATTAGTATTGAAATTAATGTTAATGTGGTTATTTTTGCTATATAAAGAAATATCGATATGGTTATTTTTCTACATAAAATAATGTTAAATTGATGTAAAATATTGATATTAACATATGGAGAGTTTATCATTGGACTTAACATTTAATATAATCAGTTATACACTCAACCTTCAACCTTTAAACAACTCAACCAAAAAAAACTCAAAACCATCATAAAATTAATCAAGCGATTTTCACATCCATCACCACCAACAGCGGAAGTAATTATAGATGCACGGGAAAGAAATTATATGAGAGGGGTATAAATTAAAATAATCTTCACTGTTTATTCAATCACTAACCTGGTTAGGGTTAAGGAACTGGAGTGAATAACTAACACAAGGACTAATTTGGATTATAGGACTTCATTGACTCAGTTACGGTTCAGAAAAATTGAGGGTTTAATTTACAAAATGGAAAAGAATTTAAGGAAATGAAAAATATAATTTGGAAGGAAAACAGAACTGCCCGGGCCCTACAATCCCTGCAAGAAGCTGCCCACGGTCAGTGAGATGTACGCTCTTCTCCATTTGGTCTTCCTCTCGGGGCAGCTCAAAATTAAAGCAACTAATAAAGAAAAAAGATAAAGACATGATGGAGAGAGAAAGAGGGGGAGAGAGAGAGGGGAAATCTTTTCTCTCTCTAAATTTCTTCTTGTTGGTTTGTGTGTCTGCATGAGTGTAGGTGTGGGCTTGCATAAGATTATCTTTTTCTTTTTCTTACATTTTATATAATATTTTTACAATATTTCCTTTTTTAAAAAATTGGTGCTAACCTTCTAGGTGTTTTGGGCTTAGTTAAGTGATCTAGGATAATCTAGGGCGAAGAGGAATGTTTTGAGCCTAGATTTTGCTTTATGCATGGGGAAATGGTGGGCTTTCCTAGGGTTTTGGATTTCGTAGGAGCTCACCCCCCTCCAAAGGTCTCAAACTAAGTAATTAAGGGGTGAGATCAAGATGAAATCAAATTAGATGGCTCACCTAGAATTTTGGGCTATTAGTAGGGTTTGGCTATTTAGATTAGGCTTTGGCTGGATCAAAGGACTTGTGTCCTTGAGTCCTAACCCTTTTTTGGGGTTTTGTCCTTAATGCTTGGTCCTGATTTGATGGAGGTCAAAACATTTTGGAGCATCCTTATTGTCTCTATTTGCTTGCGTCTAGACTTGTGCTCGGACTCAACGCTACACTTCGAGGGGGCGCGCTCATTTTATTAGGATCTTGCATGTGTTTTGGGACCTCATTAGGGCTCCCTTAATCAATTTGCTAAGCTTTAGAAAGTAAATCTTTGGATTTGGCTAAGCCTTGTTGCTTACTGAGGCCACAGGCCATGTGGAAGACTGTGCCCTTAGTCCATGCATATGATCTTCGGGTCACATAAATCGAGGGTGGGGCAATCATCAAATGAAGCAATAACCTACGTTTAGCAAAATAAAATAATGTCGATATTGATGTTTAAGCATGAAACCTCCCTAGGATTAGACTTAGATTAGACCCTTATTCCTTGCCATCACATGAATGGAATCCCTAGCAACCTCACACTATCCTAGTGAGGCCTCCACTTAATTAGACACATGTTGATCCTAAGTAACATGGTGCTGCGAAAAGGGAAAAAAAAAACCTTGAAAATAAATTTGATTAGAATACTTTACATATAGAACCTTCGGACGGTTGAGATATGTCTAGGGGCTGTTTGGTTGATGTATTTGGCATTGGGGGTTGGGCAGAAAAGTGCTCTTTTGTCAGGCTTTTTGTCCAACCCCCAATGCCAAATACATCAATCAAACAGTCCCTTAACTATGTCCAGCAATGTTAGCCACGTGGCAACAAGGCCACAATACAAGTATATACAAGACAAAATAAGCTCAAGTTGAGCAATGTGTTTGCTCACTAACTTGTTAGTACGTTGACGCAAAAAAAAAAAAAAAGTAATGAGCAAGTGGGGAGAGGGGTTTTGTTATGTAAATTAAAAGGGGTTACAGGTGTCCTTTGTTAGCCCATGGAGTTCTCATGTGGGTCTACGGAATGCTCAAAAACCAAATTGAAAGGAAAGCAGTAGCTCAACTAATTGTCGAAATAGTATAATCAGCTGATATCACGAAGGGGACAGAGAGCATTTTAATCACCCTCCGATTCCTAAGTGCACTTTTGAGGGTGAGTATGTGAAATATTTAGATACTAGTCTAAACTCTTGATTTGATAATCCTCCACCCAAGAGCCCTTTGTGTGGTATCTGAGGGTTCAAAGCGCTTGGGTTCAATGCATACATGATGAGTTTCAAGGTTCCATTACCTAAGGAAAATGACTTGGTTCTTATCTAATTAATGATGAGTTCAAAGTGGTCCATTACATTTTGAACCCTCCGATCGGACCGGAGGGGGGCGATCGGAGCCGTCGAAACTCTTTTAATAATTCGACTTCACATCACATTCGTACACTAAAATTAGTTAGTGCTTGTCAAAACGATTACTGAAAGAAAATGTGCAAAACTACTAAGGGGCTTGAATTTTAATATTGCATTAATTGAATAGTGCAGTTAATAGTTTTGGCCACATTGTCACATGCTTCAGTCCAGCCAGCTATAACAAAACAAAATCAGGAGGAGCCTTATTGTCACTTATCAATAACAAAGCTTGAATCACGTAACTGTGGTCCCAATTACTGTATTTAATTTGATGATTACAAAAGAGACATGGCAGGCAAATGGAAAGCTATATTCAAATTTATGATACCTTGTTTAGCTTAGAGCATGTTTTGTTGAGAACTTAATTAGCATTTTTTAAGTACAAATCTAACAACTTTGTTATGTGCTAAAATACTTCATCGTTCCCCCACATGAACAGGTGTTGCATTCAAATGGAGGCACGGTGAGCTCAGAAGTTGCTGGATTGCATGCCTCCGTTGATTTAAAAATTTACGGTTAAGTGCAATTAACGCTAATAAAACATCTCTAATGACACAAAGTTTTTGCATGCCTCCGTCGATTTTTCTGTCTATTTTATATTTTGTTGTTACTAAATTTACTGGAAGAGTGGATTTAGTCCCATACAGAAAGAGGCATCGAATATATGATTAAAAATAAAGAGTAATCTATAGTTTTTTTTCGTAATTTCTTAATTTATTAGTTCCCTATTTCAAGTGTATTCAAAATCTTTCATCGTTTTAAGCATTTCATCACCTATAAAGTAACAAGGAACGTAGAATACTTGACATAAATTTTCTGATAGATTTTTAAAGCTTTAAATTGGTGGCAAACTCCAATCTAATGAATAACTTTGCTTGGATTCTATAAAAAAAAAAGGTCTCTGTAGCAAGTTAGCAACTAGCCAACATATCTCCCTCATAAGATTCTAAAGATCCATTAAATACAGTAAAATTTTCTATTTAACATTATCACTTCTAGAAAAAAAGTTTCCCACAAGGGCCACAACTGATCAATTTGGAAAAAGGCTAATCATTAAGCAGCTGATTCTTAGATTTTGCGAACCTACTCATAGCTGCATAGCATTCATCCCCAAAATGCTCCTCCCATTAGATTCCAAAAGACATGCATAAGCAAACTCCGTTTCCCAAAATACCCTCACATTTTGTTCAAAGCTTCTTAACACACAAGGACCTGTTCGAACAATTTGACCACCAAATCGTGCGAAGCGAAAGAATACGTCCCAGATTCCAGACACATTCATTCCCATTCTGCCCCTGTCCCTATATGTTTCAAGAGGGAGTCAAAGATCTCAGGGCCCGTACTCGGGCAAAGTATCTCTCTTTTGCTTTTTATTGAGCTTTGAAGCCTTCTTCACAATTTTGCTTAGCTTTACTCCTTTCATGGGTTTTTTTTTATTGAAATCAGGTTTTTGGACTAGTGGGTTAACCCCTCTTTCTCAATCTCAGGTTAGCTTTTTTTTTCCCATGTCATTTTCTTCGAGGGGCGTGGCATTAAAAGAAAGAATAATATGAGATGTGAGGTTCAAAGTAGGTAGTTTCAGTTGTTTCCTTTATGTGAAGTCTTAACTGTAATTGTTGTTGATCACTAATAATCTAGCTCATAATTTTGTTGACCTCTTTTGTTAACCTCCTCCCTAGATGTGACAACTTAGTTAACACACGTCAACATCACTTTATCTTTGATTAGACTCGTTTAATTTCTCATAGGACACCACTTCAGACTGATTTTGGCGGTAATAAACGGATAAATTTTGACTGATGTCGGTCCTTAACGTTCTTTTTATTTCCCACAAGACTGCAGGCCGCAGTTCATGTGAAGAAAATTCACAAATTTCTACCTACCTACCTATGTAAAATCTGGATGAGGCTAGTTATGTAAAAGTCTTCAAGTTGCCAAACTGGCTACCTACCTGCACATCAACTAACTTCCCTAACTAACAAAGCACTGAACTAACTCTTACGCCTCCAAGAAACACAGACAGGAACAAAGACTGGACATTGAGAAACGTCAAATTCTTATACATGGCACGCAAGAAAAAACAATAACAAGCCAAGAAATATTCATGTCTGGTACATACACAACGCGTGTTGTCGCGCACGTAAGCGACGCGTGTCAGGCATGCCGCATCACCGTACAGGCTTCAGTGTTCCACAGGGTAATGTACAAAAACATCTAAACAGCAGGTCACCAAGTGAGAAAAAAATTGGAGGAGAGCTCTTTCTCAGCTGTTTACCGTTGAGAAGTCGCTCTCCATTCCTATATATCGTTTCGAAGTTTTGAGTTATGTAGAAATAAACCAAACACAATCCTAACTACCAACATTAATTATCAAGAGCACCACCAAAAAATTGAAACCTGAAATGACAATATCAACCCCACATGGAAAAACACAACATAGAGAAAGTATTTCAGCTTAGTGTGTAAGTTTTTATCAACTCAATGATGAACACACGACATATTGACATTTGTTCAGATTTCAGCATCTATGGTACCAACAACCAGATTTTGACAGTAGAATTGCGAAGGACGATTAAAAATGCATTCTGTAATATCGCTCACTACTTCTCATCAAGATAATATATGGGGGAAAATTTCATTGAATACTGTAAAGGCTGAACTGATGATAATAAGAGGATGAGCTCAAGCATCAAGCAATAGAGAATTGTATTCAGAAGGTAGAAGCCCACTGATTCAACAGCTTTCACGTGAATATTGTCATTGGAGATTACAATAGTTTTGCTACATATCGTTTAAATAATCACGTCTTCTCCGAATAACAGAAATAGTATAATATTATCATTGGCACACATACCGAAGGTAAATTATAGTGGTATTCTGACTGGATGCTTAAGAATTCCACATGTCGCATAATAATTGTTGAAGAACGCTCATCCTATCATTGTGCGCTTTCGACCTCGTTGTCTCACTGTGAAGATTGAAAAAGAATGATATAAATCAAAATACTTGAAACATGTCAGGAATAAACAGAAAGAAAGTAGAGAAGAAGTTCACACCTTGAGCTAGCTTGTTGAGTGTGGAGCACCACTGTTTTGAAGACTTCCGATATGCAGAGAGTATTCTATCCATCTGCTCAATAATGAAAAACAATGAGACAGTACCTGTCGGCAAATTTATTTTTTATTTTTTATAGACATTACTGATAATAACCTTATGAAAAAAAACATTCTAATCTCAGCTTCGAAGATAAACTGTTGTCTGTCAACAGCAAGGATGCAGAATTGAAAACGACCAGGATAAAGAGCAACAATGTGAGATGACTTATATGAAGGATATCATGACAGTATTGAAGATCATTGACTTGATTGAACTTGGGGGATAGTAGAATCCAAGGGGCATTAATAAGCTATAGCTAATATGTGATCTCTGGGTACGTAACCCTGCACTCTGATTCAGAGTATGCTTAGACTTGTAATATGAGAACGTGAACAGAGCAGAATAGTGGGAATGGTGCGTGTGGTACTAAAGCGAACAATATTACCAATTATTATACAAGATGGCAGTATGTTCTAAATAAACATATGAAGACATATAAAATTAACTAATATGTCAATAATGTAAACGATTGAAGGACTCTTGTTAATTATCAAAATAACACCATAAAGTCCTTGACACAATTTAGATTGAAGGACTCTTGTTAATTATCAAAATGACACCATAAGTTCCATGAATTCACATGCATAATACTATTTAAAAATATTGAGTCACCATTTTGTCTAACCGGAAAAGGAGGCACTATGGATAGGGTTGAATGATCCGGATTAGTATTTTCAGGGGAGTGTTTTAAATAGTAATATTCATAAGTGCAATTCTATGTCTAGAGATGTGTACAGATCCATCGGCCCAAGTAGCAGGACACAATGCTGCCAAAATAGTGACAGAATGAATTTTACCAGTTTATCATGGAAACAAGTTTCATTTCACGGATTTTAGCCTTCAGCTATAAGTTATCATCAATTTACTATTCCACGAGTAATTTTCCTACACAAACTTTGCATTTTGATTTACAAAGAGCCCCTTTCCCATGGAAAAAACCCTTGTCCTGCAAACCAAGAAGTTGATGTCACATTGATGACACATCAAAAGATTGGTTCAAACTTTTTTGGGTCTATTATAGACTCCTGGTCCATATCTAACTCCATTATCATGGAGAAGATCTTATACTTAGGTGACAATGATGATGGTGCATATTTTTATTTTCTCTGCAGATGTGCACTGTGTGATGACGACATAAATCTCTGTGCAACTTAAACATATAAACCAATCACAAGATTTTAATGAGCTTCATAAAGCACTTGGCTTACCACATTGCCACATGATGAGTGCATTGACAACAAGGCTCTTTCTAACACATACAAATCTACAGCTTTATCCTCTGGAAGAGTTGACGTAAAACTCAGGCCAAAGTCAATTAAAACCTGTGAATACATATATAATTTAATTCATGTAATATGATTACAACAGGAGTAAAAGATGCAACGTAAAATGTTGCAAGTGATAAAATAAATTTGCCTTGCAGGACCAGAAAAAGTGTGACTTGGGTATTACCAGCTGATTGGTCTCTCTCCTGATTAACATATTTGAGGTTGTCAAGTCACCATGCACGAGACCTCCATCATGTAATTTTCCAACTGCATCACCTATTTGGATGGCAATGTCATTCATTCGCTCCTCGATTATACCATTTGCCCCGTAGTCCAGGAGTACTTCCTTCACAGCCGGCCCATCCACAAACTCAAAGGTTAGAGTATGCAGCAATGGGTCAACTGCATACAGCACTGGAGTTGGTACACCAAGTTTTCTTGCTTTCACCATACAACGAGCTTCCTGCACCAAATAACAGCGACAAAATATGTATTAAGATTCTAAATATTTAAAAGTAGGTAACAGTAATGACAAAAAATAAATTGCTGCACGTAGCAGTGAACGATTACAGAGGCAAGTTACAGCATAGATATAGATCGAATCAAACATAAGTAGAGAACAAAGTGATCAATTTGTAACACTGCAGGGAATGTTTTAGATATTAATCTGATATAAGCAATTACTCAATGCATAAATAAATGGAACCGCTAATTCAGGAATGTGGGTGAATCCATTTAAAGAAACTTACCGCATTCAGACGCTTAAGAGTTAATTTTGCGTCAAGGGTTGGATGCCTGTACTTCTTTGAAAAACGTTCTTTCACAATGGATCTACGCCCAACAAAGGTCGATTCAAACACCCTCTGGAACAACACCGACCATAATCAAAATCATGAAGTTGGAAAAAAAAGGAAGACAAAGAATGAGTTTGGAAAAGCTAATAACACACAGCTTCTGCCCCTTGCTTGACCAACACACCAAAGCCCTCATTTTGCTCCTTTTGATCCTGATCAATCTCCATCAAACTATGTAGATGAAGAACAGAATAGTCTGTAAAGATCACAGGCAGAGAACAATCATAGAACAGATAAATTAATACCATTATAAAGTGTAAAAAAAATATTTTCTGCCTGAATATCAGAAATGGGGGAATGAAAATAAGTAGGAACTAGAATACTTCAGTGATTTTGGTGGATATTTGAGATAATTTAATGATTTTAATAAGTTAATAAAATATTGAAGATTTGGGGAGCGGACGATATATCAAAATGATAAAGTATCAAGAAGGTACATCTTAAAACCAAAATTATAATGTTCCCTTCCAATACTACACCAAATATCCAGATACTTTTATGTAGCTTCCAGTATTATGCCAACTTACACGAACAAACATTTCTCAATTCACCAAGATGGCCATGTCTCATAGTTTTTGCGGGCATGTACTAATGACAATCATAAGAATAAAATTCCCAAATGCTAGCACATATACACGTAACCTAGCCATCCGAGGAGTTGATACATGTGCTTTCCAATTTTCCTATTCTTAACATGAAAAATATATAAAGCTACTAACAAATGTGTAGAGAAAAAAAAGATGGTCCTTTTAAAGGTTTACCCCATGTTTCACATTTGGTTAATTGAATCAGATTAGGCGAAAGATTAACCATCAAGTTAACGCTTTCTGTGTGTGTGTGTGTGTGAAATTGAGGGAGAAACATTTGGTCCATTGGGGTAAAACATCAAACACCTGGATTGCATCCCAAAAGAACAAAGATACAACAACAACGATTTCAATTCGTCTAATCAAAAAAGTGAGTTTTAGGATTCAAAGTTCCAACTTTTTGATAAATACAGCGTAGAGATTGATGCCATACCTCCTTTACTGCTAGAGCCGAGACCTTCGAAGGGCTTTGAAATCTAAAGGCGTTAGAGAGAGGAA